AAAGTTTCTTTGTTAGGTTTCTGTGTCAGTGATCTGTCTCGTGCTGTCGGTGGGATGCTGAAGTCCTTCACTATTGTTGTGTGGTTGTCTATTTCTTTGCTTAGGTCTAGTTGTATTTGTTTTATAAATTTGGGTGCTCCAAAGTTAGGTGCATATGTATTTAGGATAATTAAACTTTCTTGTTGAATTGAATGCTTTCTGATTATATAAGCCCTTCTTTGTCTTTTTTTTTTTTTTTTTAACTCTTGTTGGTTTAGTCTGTTTTACTTGATACAAGAATAGCAACTCCTGATCTTTTTTGTTTTCCATTTGCATAACAGATCTCTCTATCCCTTTACTTTGAGCCTGTAGGGGCTATAACATGTGAGATAGGTCTCTCTTAAGGGCCACAGAAAGTATTATATGTAATTTTTTTCCAATTTTCCACTCTAAGGCTTTTTTTTTTTTTTTTTTTTTTTTCCTGGAGTCTCACCCTGCCACCCAGGCTGAGTTCAGTGGTGCGATCTTGGCTCACTGCAGCTTCTGTTTCATCGGTTCAAGTGATTCTCCTGCCTCAGCTTCCCGAGTAGCTGGCATTATAGGTGCCCACTACTACACCCGGCTAATTTTTGTATTTTTAATGGAGACGAAGTTTCACCATGTTGGCCAGGCTGGTCTTGAACTCTTGACCTCAAGCGATCCGTCCGCCTTGGCCTCCCAAAGTGCTGGGACTACAGTTGTGAGCCACCACGTTTGGTCTACTCTATGCCTGTTAAGTGGAGCTTTTAGGCCATTCACATTCAAGGTTACTATTCATGTGTGAAGTGTTATTCCTGTCATAGTGTTAAGCTAGCTGCTTTGTAGACCCAATTATGTATTGCTCTATAGGGTCTATGAGCTTTGTAATTACATGTGCTTTTATGGTAGCAAGTACCATCCATGTTTAGAACTCCTTCGAACATTTATTACAGAGCCTGTCTGGTGTTAATGAATTTCCTTAGCATTTCTCTGTCTGGGAAAAACGATTTCTCCTTCATTTATGAAGCTTAGTTTGGCAGAGTATGAAAGTTTGACAGGCCTTTTTTTTTTTTTTTCTTTCCTTTTAGGTGGCTAAAAATAGGCCCCGGTCTCTTCTGACTTGTAAGATTTCCGTTGAGAAGTTTGTTGTTAGTCTGATGGGATTTCCTTTAGAGATAATTTGGCCCTTTTCTTCAGCTGCCTTGAAGATTTCTTCTTTCACATTGATCTTGGAAAGTCTGATGACTATATGCTTTGCAATAGTTATCTTGTATAGTATCTTGCAGAAGTTGTCCAAATTTCTCATATCTGAATATCAGTCTCTCTAGTATGATTAGGAAAATTCTTTCCTGAATTATTCCTTCAAATATGTTTTCCAGGTTGCTTACTTTTTCTTCTTCTCTCTCAGGAATGCCAATAAGTCATAGGTTTGATCACTTCGCATAATCCCATAATTCTCAAAAGATTTCTTCGGTTTTAAAATTCTTTTTTTTTTCATTTGTGTTGGACTAGGTGAATTTGAAAGACCAACCTTCAAGCTCTGAAATTCATTCTCCTGCTTGTCTAGTCTATTGTTAAAGCTTTCAATGTATTTTGAAATCCCTTTAGTGAATTTTTTCAATTATAGAAGTTCTATTTTTTTAAATACAGTTTTCTTGTCTTTCATATTCTGTATTGTTTTTCTGGTTTATTTGTAATGGACTTCAACTTTTTCTTTGATCTTGTTGAGTTTCCTTGCAATCTGTATTTTGAATTCTCATCTGTCATTTCAGACATTTCAGTTTGGTTAGGATCCCTTGCTAGAAACGAATGCAGTCCTTTGGAAGTATGTAAATACTCTGGGTACACTGGAGTTCTTTCACTGATTCCTTCTCATCTAAGGAACCTGTTGCTTCTTATTTTTGAATTTGGTATTGTTTGGATGAGGATTTTAAATTTATTTATTCTTTTATTTCCTTGATAGTATGACTGTGGCACATGTAGTATATGATTGTTTGGCTTCATTTCTGGGTGCTTTCGGGGGGCCCTAGCTCTGTATGTGTTTCTTGGTTGTAGGTAGCTTCTAAGCAGTAGCTTTCTCAGATGCTGCTTGTTGTGGTGATGTATTAGAAGTAAAAGCTAACACACTCACCCTTGTTGGGGGCTGAGGGTGCAGAATTCTCAGGAAGCTTATATCATGGACTAGCACTAAGTCCTTCAGGTAGCAGTTTTTTTTTTATTCGGAGGTCCAGTTTAGGATGCAGTCCAGTAGATGGTACTTAAGAGTAAGGGAGGGTAGGTAGGCTGGTGTCCAGTGGAAACACCTGCCCTGACACGTTGGTGGCAAGAGATCATGTTGGGGTGTGCTGAGGCCTCAGGGGAAGGGGCAGAAGTACACTAGCTCCTTCTCCTGAGTAGACAAGAATGTGATATGCTTCCCTATCATGGCCCTGTCACAGAGCTCACAACCTTCAGTTTATAAAGACTTTGTCCTTTGGTTCCTGGCTGTGGTGCAGCTGAAGTCTGTAGATATGCCACTCTGACAACTACCACTAAAATGGGGTTTAGGGCAGAGTCTCTTCTCCAAGTCCAGGGCAGGCAACTCCATGGCCTGTCTTTCATTGCCAGGGCACTGCAGCTCTGTATAGAGACGTTGAGTTGGGCCTGTCCTTCCTGAAAGCCCAAGCAGCACAGGCTCACTTTCAGCCTGGGTGGTACCACCATGAATAACATGAATAATGTTCTCTCCTAGTGCACAATCACTGGGTCCTGGAGAAAAGAACCACTGCTATGTCTGCAGCCGTATGGAGGGGAGGAAAGGGATGACCCCTACTTTTCCTGCTTTTTCACGCCCATTCCTGAATGTCAGTGCTGCCCCCTTCTGCGATTGGTGTCCTGCCAGTGTTTTCTTTGTCCCTAGGAGGGCTTTGGCAGTCTGTGCTTCCCCCTCGCTTATGGGTGGCCCATGCTCAGCGTTAGCTCTCCAGGGGTCCTGCATCTCCCCAGGGACCTGCCCTGTACTTGCTAAAGTCAGAGTTGGTTGTGGGCATATATTTGCAGGTGGGCAATGACTCAAGGGTAGAGAATCCCCAGGCAGGATAGTGCTCCACCATGGGTACACAACCAGTATGGCAGCCAGTCTCAGTTTGAGTGTGAGGAAAGTGCAGGCATGCCTGCATGTGCTGACCACTCAGTTCTCTGTCCCTGGGAAGTTTTCAAACTGCTACTGATGGTGTTGCCCTATCATGAGGGCAGAGGGTCTCCCCAACAGTTTAACAGTCAGCAGATTGTCAGAGGGGTGAGGGGAACAGAGAAGCACTCCCACCTACCCTGTGGGGCTCCAAGTTCCTTAGGGGTTGATTTCTGCCAGACTCTTGCTGCTTTCCTTTTCTGCACCCCAGCTACTTCCTGTGGGCACTCCAGCAGGACCTGGCTTTCTTCTCTCTGTTTTCTGTTTGGAATGTGTCCATTCACTGGTAACTTTGATCTTTCTGAGGAGAACTGGTGTCAGATGTCCCTAGTCAGCCATCTTGGAAACCCACCAAATTTCGCTCCAGACATTTTACAGATAATCTCATAAATACATTTTATTCGACTGGGATGTTAGTTGACACATATGTGTTCCCTGGTCCTGTTTTATCAGCCAGTGATTGAAAACTGACTGAGTGTAAATAATAGGAGTATATAGCTGAAAAAGATATTTCCCAGGAGACACCCTCCTGAAATTCTTGTTTTAACAGTGGAAATAACTATGTTTGATACAAAGTCCTTTGACATGCCTGGAGGGTGAATTAGGTGCTTTGGACAGGGAAGCTGAGGCCAAGGCTTGTGTGGTGGCTCTGCTGCCATCAAGTAGTGAGGGAGATTGGGAAAATCTTTTAGCCTTTCTGGGCCTCCGTTTCCTCATCAGGAAGATCAGGTTATTGTTCTAGTTCTCTAGGGTCACTTTCTGCTCAGTTTTCTCTGAGTCTATGAGTGAGTGAGATGTGTATTCAACATACTTCGGACGCTGCAACGGGGAATGACCTTGGTCCCTACTGCATGTTTCCAGGACCCGGCCCAGCCTGAGTCAATGCCCTTAAAGTGCAAAGCAAGACACAAAATGGAAGAAAGTCAGCAAGTTTGGAGGATGAAAATAATTTTTTAAAGTCCAAAGTAACAGTGGAACATGTGGTAGCCCATGGTGTTGAGAATAAGGACAGATTTCAAGCTGGGTTCGGATAAGTCAGGGGAAAATAGTGTCTACAGCATCATCAGATTCTTCAAAGAACATCTTGGGCTGAGCAGTTTGTAACTTACTCCACAGTGAACTTGTGCACCATGTGAAGGGGATCCATAAGATAAACTCAGGTCTAGTTTATACTGAGGGGAAACACCAAGTCCAAGAGGGGAACACCAATTCCATGAAACCCTGCCCAAGACCCAGGGGCCTTGACCTTGGGACTGCCCTGGCAGTGGACTCTCCTCAAGTAAGTGTGGGCTTAGCAGGAATAAACGGTGCTTAGAGAAGGGTTGGAGACATCCATTCTTACCTTAAATAGTTCTGCCCTAAGTTTAGGAGGGGCCAGAGTAGGAGAATTCTTGTATCTGAAGCAGTGATACTGATAATGTTCTTCTGTATTTACAGTTGAGAAAGGCTTTACATACAATATCTTATAAACATGTTAAGTGCTGAATTTTCCTTTCCCTGTGTTTAGCACTTGGGTTCAGATATTAATGTCTTCCTGAGGAACTCAAGCCAGTGGGAGGATGAACACAAACAGATAATTTCAACAAATGTGATAGCTCTCCTAAAATGGGAGTGATAGCTCAAAGTATATGCAGGCCAAAAACACTCTTCTATATAAGAGGGTGAACCATTGAGAGGAATTGCTGAGGACAGTCTGTTTTCATCAAGTCTTATCACAGATAACTGGTCCCAGGACATGAACCAAATGGTATAGAGTTCTTTTTATGGAAGAGAAATTGTCCAGCCATTGGACAAATATTACTAAGAACTTCTTTAATTCTTGGCCCTGAACTAGGAACCATGAATTCAGAGATCAATAAAACATCTGAACTTTCAAGGGGATCCAGGTGAGTAGTCAATAATGGCCAAATTGCATGAGAAGTGTTCTGATAAAAACATGACTAAAATATGGGGGAGGGGGAATAAGATTAAAAATAGGAAATGGCCTGCAGTCATTGCAATGTTAATAAACGAATAATATGAACAACTTTACACTGTTAATTCAACAATTTAGAAGAAATGGACAAAGTTCTTAAAATCCACAAACTAGTAAACTCAACCAAGATGAAATAGACAATCTGCACAGTCCTATAAACACTGAAAAATTGAATTTGTAATTAAATAACTCCCCACAAAGAAATGGTCATGCCAAGATAGTTTTACTGAAGAATTCTACTAACATTTAAAGAAGAATTAACACTAATTCACACAATCTATTCTGGAAAAATATAAGAAGAGGGAACACTTCGCAACTCATTTTATGAAGCTAATATCATCCTCACACCAAAACCAGGCAAAGACAGCACAAAAGAAAACTATAGACCAATATCCCACATAAATTTAGATGCAAAAATCATCAACAAAATATTAGGAAGTCAAATCCGGCAATGTACAAAAAAATACACTATCACAAAGCAGGATTTATTCCAAGTGTGCAAAGTTTGTTCAACATTCCAAAATTAATCGGTGTACTCCACCATATCAACAAACTAAAAAGAAAAAGGAGATGATTATACCACTTGAGGCAGAAAAAGCATTGGCAACATCCAATACCCCTTCATGAATAAAACGCTCAGATTGCTTACACAATCCCTCTTCCATGATTTCTTTTTTTTTTTTTTGAGACGGAGTCTCGCTCTGTCGCCCAGGCTGGAGTGCAGTGGCCAGATCTCAGCTCACTGCAAGCTCCGCCTCCCGGGTTTACGCCATTCTCCTGCCTCAGCCTCCCGAGTAGCTGGGATTACAGGCGCCCGCCACCTCGCCCGGCTAGTTTTTTGTATTTTTTAGTAGAGACGGGGTTTCACCGTGTTAGCCAGGATGGTCTCGATCTCCTGACTTCGTGATCCGCCCGTCTCGGCCTCCCAAAGTGCTGGGATTACAGGCTTGAGCCACCGCGCCCGGCCTCTAGATACTCTTTTTCAGTATCCTCCAGGAAATTCATAGTAAGACGCATTGGTGGTTCGGTGGTAGAATTCTCGCCTCCCACGCGGGAGACCCGGGTTCAATTCCCGGCCAATGCAAGCCGCTTGCCTTTTTGACTTCTTCCATGCAAAATTATAATCCATAACCAAATAGTGCATTTAGGGGCTTGGCCACCACAAAGTAAACTGCCAACACTCGTCAAAGTAGCGGCAAAAGACATTCAGGAGACTAACCCAGGACCCGTGCAGTTGTTGGACTCAACAAACGGCTTAGCAAAGTGGCAAGCACGAAGTGTTTCTGGTGAGTCACTGCAGTTTTGATATTGGTACCTGTTACTTTCATCTATTCTCTGGGCAGATCCCTGCAAACCCAAAGAACCATCAGGTTCCTGATTCGCGTGCTGGACCTTGGGCTTACCGCTGAGCCACTATGGAGAGGATCGAGAAATGAAACTCCAGGAAGGAGAGAAGCTGCGGGCGCGGCAGTCACCTCAGAGGTCCAAGAGGCCTCAGCGGCCCAAAGAAAGGGGAGGTGTGTGGGGAAGAATCTGCGTGGAGATGAGAGGAGCGGCGGACACTTGAGCAGAGGTGGCCAGTGGACCCTCGGGGCTGTACCCCAGACACCGTGGACCGAATTTGCTAACATCGTCAGCCACCGCGGCCTCCGCGTGTTTTGTGGGCCCATCGGTGTTCCGCGAGGGATTCCGTGTGTCTGGCAATGTGTGTCAACAAGTGTTGGCCTGAAATTTGGCCGGGCACGGTGGCTCACGCCTGTAATCCCAGCACTTTGTGAGGCCCAGGCGGATGGATCGCTTGAGGTCAAGAGTTCAAGACCATTCTGGCTAACATGGTGAAATTCCGTCTCTACTAAAAATACAAAAATTAGCCGAATGTGGTGGCATGCACCTGCTATTCCAGCTACTTGGGAGGTTGAGGCAGGAGAATCGCTTGAACCCGGGAGGCGGAGGTTGCGGTGAGCCAAGATCGCGCTGCTGCACTCCAGCCTGGATGACACATCGACTCTGAAAAAAAAAAAAAGGAGTGAAAGAAGGCAGAGGTGTAGATGGGACAACAAGATCTCCCAGGAGGCTTGTTGTAGAGGCAGTGGCCGGATCCTGAGAAATGAGATTTTTAAAAATTATGTAGCAGAGTGGGGAGAGAGTAACGGAGAAGCACGTGAAAGAGAGAAAAGCAATCTGCAGACGTCCAAGAATAAAGCATAGAAAATAGTGTGAGTGTTTTTACATAAAATATATATATATATATATATATATATATATATATATATGAAGTACAATGGTTGTCAGCAGGCTTTGTGGTCGTGTAGTGGTTAATACTTCTAGTTGTGGTTGCTGCAACCTGGGTTCTAATCTGAGTCACAGCAGTGTTTTGTATCCTGCGATTGTGGCTAATAGACTTCTCATTTGCTTTGCCTTTAATCCTAGCAGCCTCCAGAGAGCAGAGTAAACCGCTGGCCCAGAAGGGCACCAGCTTCTGGAGTTTAGCCCACAGTGCATAAACTAGGGGGCGGCCTGGCCAAAAGGAAAACTTGGACATGCTCTTAGTTTCACAATTGAGCAGAAAAAAATCCCGTAGGTGAAGATGCTGCCTCTCAAGGACCCTTTGTCTGTAGCTTCCACTGATGAAATAATGCGGTTATAGTCTTTCTGGAAGAGAAAACAGCTGTATCAGTGGGATTTTTAAAAAACACAAAATGAGAACGAGCTTTTAGTGAGTTTACAATAAAATCTAAACCAGTTGTCATGGTCGACACCGGCTTGCCTCCATTCCCCATCTGCTGATTTTTATGAGAGCATAAAAATTCTCATAAAATGAGATTGTGCAGGGCACAATGGCTTTAGTGCACCTCTGCTGTTAAGACTATTATTACTATTATTAGTACTTTTGAGATGTAGTCTTGTTCTGTCACCCAGGCTGGAATGTCGTGGCTCAGTCTCGGCTCACTGCAACCTCCGTCTTCCGGGTTCAAGGAATAAGAACAGTAAATAAACTACAGTTCACATAAAGTGCACAAATCTTTAGTGCAATTTAATTTTGATAAACGTAATCACCACCCAGCTCAAGTTATAGAAAATTGCCATCATCTGAGAAAGGCCTGTTAGAACCCCTTTCCAGGCAATTCCCACCCTGTGTCCTCTTAGTTAATCGCCATTCTGATGTCTATTCCCATAGGTTACAATTGCCTGTTCTTAAAGTTCACATGAGTGAATGGACATATCTTTTGTGTCTGGCCTTTTTTCTGCAGTTATGTTCATTATACTCATGAGATACATCCACGTAGTTCATGGATCACTTCTCAATTGTGGTGTTACTGAATTCTTGTGATGAATATTGTTGTAACAGTCTTTTTGTGCACTTGAGATTCATGGAAGTACTTCAATTGCTGGGTCATGACCTGAGTATAAGTTTGACATTGGTATAAATTGCCAATCTTCTAGAATGTTTTTTCACCAGCAGTGACAGTTGAAGTGGCACCAAATTCTTGTCGGCATTTGGTGTACTAACTTTTTAAAATGTAGCTATGCTCTCAGACCAAACTGGCCAACATGGCAAAACCCCGTTTCTACTAAAAATACAAAAATTAGCCGGGCATGGTGGCATGCACCTGTAGTCCCAGCTACTCAGGAGGGGGAGGTTGCAGAGAGCCAAGATCACACCGTTGCACTCCAGCTTGGGTGACAGAGTGAGACCCTGTCTCAGAAAATTAAAAAAGTAACCATACACTGATGAGTGGTTAGTGATGTCTCCGTGTGGAATTAATTTGTTCTTGCCTAATGAGCAATACTATGAAGCATATTTTCTTATGGCTTCCAACATATAAGAAATTATCCTTTTCAAAGGCCTATTTGGATATTTTGCCCGATTTTATTTGGCCTAGCTTTATATTACTGATTTACGAAAGTTCTCTTATATATTCAGGAATTGAGTCATTTTTCAAATAAATATATTGCAAATGACTTTTCCCAGTCAGTGATTTGACTGACAACTGAAAGCTGTCAAGTGAAAAATTACACAATTTATAAATTTAGAAAGAAAGGAGATTTTATTTTTTATAAAGGGTTACAGCCTGCAAGGCGTCCATTCTGACAGACTGGGAGCATACCTACCTGCTGAAACCTGAAAAGTAGGTTTCCAGGGAAGGGGTAGGGGGAAACAGGGATTTGTGTTGATCTGGTTGGCCACATATACATATTCAACAGGGAATAGGAGGAGCTCTGAATATTCGTGAAGGGATCCTGCTGCATGCATGCTGAGTAAACATGCCTGTTACATGCAGCCAATATTCACTTTGGGGTGGAGACAACATTTCAATACATTATAGTTAGGCCTTATGCTTCAATAGGTGAAGCAGAGACACAAAGGCAATCAGGTGCACAGCCTCTGTAAACTGTCCAGAACCAGTTCACAGTCAGTGGTCTCTTATCAAGAGAAAGTTACTGAAATCAGTCTCTCGTCCAATCAAAGCTGTAGTTATGGCTTGTGTAGGGAGGGCTCAGCCAGTTTATGGTAATGGGTGAGCTGCAAGTGCTTCAGCATTGCTTATCTCAAGGCCAGTGTTTGTTTAGCTAGAGAAAAAAAGGAAGAAGAAAAAAACCTGTGGCAATTAGAACATAGTTTATTCTTTAAGTTGAGGGGTGCATAACTTAACTTTGCCTCGCATGGTCTTAGGTCTTGTTTATACTATAGTATTCTTACTAGTGTAAGGAGTCTGTTCTGTCAGTCTTACGATCTCTATTTTAACAATAATGCTGGTCAGTTGTGTCTAAACCACAAAAGGGAAAGAGTATAAGGACAGGTGTCTGACCTTCCAAATACTGGCCAGGAACTCAGTATTTAAGACTTCTCTGGGATCTCCTTGACCAAGAAGGGGTCTGTCCAGTTGGTTGGATGGCTTCGGATTTTAATTTCAGTTCTCAAAATATTTAGTTTGATGAAATTTTGCCATATTTTTTCTTTATGTTTAAAGCCTGTTCTATTCTATAAGAAATCTTTCTACTCAGGATAGTGAATGTATTCTCATCTCTCTCTGAGTTCCAGAGTTTTAGTTTTAATTTTTAAATCCATGACATCTAAAATTCTACTCCTAACCAAAACATTCTTGGGAGTTACCAAGGACAACTCCAAAAATCTTCCATAAATGGTCCTGAAAGAACTTACTGGAATCCTGGGCTGCAGGGCACAATGGCTTTAGTGCACCTCTGCTGTTAAGACTATTCAGAAATTGTCTTTGTGAACCCATCAGGCTGTTTAAAAATCAGCAATTTAGGGCTTGCATGCAACATGCAGTTATGCAGCAGCTGTAGTGGCCCATAAAGCTTCTCTTCAACTGAAAGAGGCCTGAAACTGCAGGAGGGTCGAGAGGAGCCTCGTTGAGCCAACGCAGCCCTTTGCCTGGCTGGCCCTGGTCAACAGGCTCGGAAGAGGCCGATTTGGAGGACAGAACGAAAGAAAAGACCTAAAGGTTTCGAATCTCATGATGTCAAGATGTTAAAGCCTAAATCCTAAGGTCCGACTGTGAGGGGGAGCGAGCGTGTCTCGAGCTGGATCGATCCTTGAGCCTTCACCTGGAGAGTCCTCTGCACAAGTTCAGAGAGCAGGACAGCTGCGCACCAGTGGTTCTCAACAGGGGGCAGCTTCGCCCTCACACACCTCTCCCATCCCCGCTGAGATGCTAGGCCACGACTGAGGGGGAAGCGGGAGGGAGAATGTTAACCCCCTGGCATGTATCTAGTCAGCGGAGGCGACGGATGTTGCTAAACACCTTACAATCCCCCGGAGGCCCATCCCCACCCCGAAGTAGCCATTCCGCGGAGGTGGAGAAACTCGTGTGTAGATCAATGCCCACACACTTGGCCGATGGTAAATCACGAGTTGGTGACCAATTGGATCTTGGATCTGTGGAAAAAACTCCAGCGTCAGAGGGAACTCTCCAAGTTTTGCCCGGAGCAAACGGAAGGGTGGCGTTGCCATCTCCTAAGACGGGAAAATGGCAGGTGTCACAGGTTGCAGGGGAAGGTGGGAGACCAGTTGAGGGCCCCGGAGCCTTCCTGGAAAGAGTTTCCCATGCAGCCCGTTTCGGTTTCCGCATCCGAGTCCTTTATGATCTTGGGGGTGCCGGGGTCTGGGTCCTTTATGATGCAGAGGGTATCCCCGTCTCACCCCGGGCCCCTCCCCGCTCCCGGCTCCTCCTGGCAACCCGGTGCGCGGCTCCGGCCCTGGAGACCCGCGACGGTCTCTCCACTTGCTGCTTCCTCGCAAAGGCGCATCTCTATGCCAGTGGTGAGCTGCGGCGGGGTCGCTGCAACTCGCTCCAGGACTCGGGACTCTGGCCTTGGTGTCCCTCGCGGAGCCCTCGGTGTGTCGCCTGCAAGCTCTGTTTTTTTAAGAAAGCAGGGAAGCAACGGCCATGTGAGACGACTCCAGGAGCAAAGAGCGACCCTCACAAAGCCCAAGTCCTGCCAGAGTACAGGGAAACTGTCGCTTCAGACCGAAGAAAGGAGAGAAAGCACCTTTCCGTATCTCCCTGGTGGTCTAGTGGCTAGGATTCGGCGCTTTCACCGCTGCGGCCCGGGTTCGATTCCCGGTCAGGGAACTGTTTTGCACTGGCCGCCTTCCCGCGGGAATCTTCCTTTATTACACTGTCAGTCGGCCTGCTCCAAGGGCCAGATGCAGAACAGCCTCCGCAGCAAGGGGCACACCCGGGCGAAGTCGGGCAAGTCGTGGTGGACCACCTTTCACGACACACTGCTCCTACTTATGTCCGTGTCCGTGATCCGCAGACGCGGCTTTAGAGAGCGACTGAGCGTCTCACTCAGGTGTACACAACAGTGCAGAGATGCCAGCCACCCAATAAGCCCACCCTCTTTGCCGCCGCCGCCACGAGGCGCCTATCTGGCCAGGATGCGAATTACGAGAGAGGCCACGCCAAGTCGTGGCGTTTGTGCGTGCCCTGGACACGAGTACCGGCCAGTCAGCGGAGCCTCCTCACCCCCGTTCGCAGCTAACGTTCGCAGCTTAGGCCTTTGGACGAGGCGACTGGAGGCGATGCCCGCGAGGTTGCGAGGAGGGTGAGCAGCTGGTGAGGTCCTCGTCGGCGGTCCCATTTGCTGATTGAGCGGTAGAGGGAGGCGATGTTCGCTGAGCCAACAAAGACAGCAGGTGGAGTAGGCACAAATGGAAAACTGTTGCCGGTGCCCCAACAGAAGGCAGGTGTGAAAACCAGCACTAGGACGTCGAAGTGATGGTCTCACAGTTAAATCCCACAAAGTCTACACTCCACCAACCACTTGCGCACGCTCCCCATTTTCCATTCAGTACTCCCAAGAGGGGTTCGGACGAACGCCGCGTCCACTGTGAGCTCAGGAGAGAGCGGGAGCCAGGGAGGTGAAGTGCACAGACTGGGGCAGAGGCGGCGGGCAGAACCGCGGGGGTGAGAGTGCGCGGTGGCTGCGGGGCGGGAGCCGCTGCTGAAAGGCGGCCTGGGTTGTGGTGTGGGGTGACTGTCGGTGGAATGTTTGGCTGAGAGTGGTTTGGAAGAATGGCGAGGGGCGGCAGTGGGTAGGGTGGTAACCCTGAGCGTCCGGCCAGGGTGAGGAGGCTGTGCTGTCCCTGCAGGGCCTGCGCTCATTCTCACTTACCTGGCAGAGTAGAGACCGCGGTCACGAAGGGAATTCTCCCAGAGTGAAGCTTCTTCATCGCACTCTAGAGTTGCTGATTCCTGTAATTTCCTCAATGTGAGAAACGGTGTTTGTGCTAGAAGAGGGCTGCCCTCTTTACCTAACGTAACGGGGTTCAAGACTGACATCGCCTCACGCCCACCCGAAAATGTTTACGTGGCTTCCTTGTCTCTTTTTTTCTGTCCTAAAGTCGCCCCATCCTCACACCCCCTCATTTTTTTCTTCCACACTTGAGAGTATCTCTCCCTCTAATTAAAAGTTCCACCAAATATTTGAAATATCTCAACCAGAAAGACTGCAATAAATACATTATTTCATTCGTGGAAGCTACAGACCAGCTAGGTTGGGAGTTGCTTGATATTTTCTGCTAAACGGTGAGGCATAGAGCACTTTGACGGTTTCTCTTTGGGCCTTTGTTTACGTACTATTGGATTTCCTTCTTTTTCCCTGACCATATGGCACTGTGGGGCCAGCGGTAAACCCTGCTTTCTGGCTTTCTGGCTGCAGATAAAGGCGGCAGCTGGTGCAGGAATTAAAGCAAACCAAAAGACACATGGGTTCGCCCCAGTGGGTCCAAGATAGAGTCTGACTGTACCAGGATTCGGATTAGAACAGAGGTTGCTGCAGGCACAACGCAGAGTACTAACCACTATAGAATCCCAAAGCACCCCACACCTACTGCCTGTCGTTTTGCTTCGCCACCCCTCTTTTATTTATTTATATATTTTTTTGAGAGACAGAATTTCACTCTGTCGCCCAGGCTGGAGTGCAGGGGCGCGATCTCAGCTCACTGCTAGCTCCGCCTCTCAGGTTCAAGCGATTCTCCTGCCTCAGCCTCCCAAGTAGCTGGGACTACAAGCGTGCGCCACCAGGGCCAGATAATTTTTGTATTTTTAGTAGAGAGGGACTTCCACCATGTTGGCCCATCTTGTCTCGAACTCCTAACTTCAAGTGAGTGATCCACCCACCTCGGCCTCCCAAACGGCTGGGATTACAGGCATGAGCCACCGCGCCCGGTCCCCTGATTTTTTTTTTAATGTAAAAACATTTATGCGATTTTTACCTCTTTATTCTTGGGCAGCTACAGGTTCTTGTGATTTTCTCTCACGTCTTCTCCTTTCCATTCTGATACATGTCCCATCTTCTCTTCATCCAGCCGGTGCCCTCTGCACGGGCATCCTGGGCTGTCCCATTGTCTCGTCCTGGTCTCCCCTGCTTCTCCCTCCTCCTTTTCACCTTTTCCCTTTTGACTCCCTTGCCTCTTTCCCCCTCCCGCCCCACCGACCCGATCTACTGAAGCCGAGTTGAGTGAGGGGAGAGCAAGGGGAGAAGATGATTGCCTGAAGGCGGCGCAAGAAAACAGAGCCGTCGGGGCGTTTGGCTTCCCTTAGGCCCTACTAGGCTCAGGCTGGGGTCGCAGATCCAGGCATTTCCAGAGGCACTGGCTTCTGAAGCAGGCGAGGGTCAAGGCAGGTTGAAGGCCATTCGGCTGCCCTTCTGGCTTCAGAGTCATGCAATATACACATTTCTAACGCGCAACAACACGATTAGTCAACCCACCCTCTCCGGTTTTCCAAAGCTTTGTAGTCTGCACACTTGTCCTGCAGAAAGCGAATGGCAACCCCTAGAGTTAGTGATGGCTCAATCTACGTTGAGATGAAAGTGAACGCTTAATCTGTTTCGTTGAACATGGAGAACTGAGGTTGTCTCTGTGGCGCAATCGGTTAGCCTTTTCGGCTATTAACCGGAACGTTGGTGGTTCGAGTCCATCCAGGGACGTCCTTTTAAATGTTGGTATTTGTGGCCAGGCACAGTGGCTAACGCCTACTAATCCCAACGCTTTGATAGGCCGACTAAGGAAACCTCACTTGAGCTCAGAAATTCAACACCACATGAACTTCTGTGAGAATCCCATCTCATTAAAAAAAAAAAAAAATTACAGTTGTTTCTCCTCAGGCCTATCACTGTATTTAAAAGTGAGAGACTGTTCCCTTGTGTCTTGTGCATCCCATGAGAACACAAAGCAAAAGGTGCCTCTCCAAGCTTCCTAAAAAATAAGATCCCTCCAGAAAAAAACTAGGTTGTATGTATGGGAACCTGAAAGTGTATGAAGAAAGAAACTTCAAAAATTCTGCCTTGCTTTCCACATTCTGCCTTCAAGTGGTATCATACCTCTTCACATTACTCCTCTCCCTGCCTTTATGCTATTGTCATGCATTTTACTTTACACATGTTATAAACCTTACAGTCCATCTTTATTACTTTCGTTTAAACAGTCAGATGTGTTTTTGTTTGGTTTTGGGTTTTTTTTTTGTTGTTGTTGTTATTTTTAAGATGAGTCTCGCTCTATCAGCCAGGCTGGAGTGCAGTGGCACAATCTTGACTCACTGCAACCTCTGCTTCATGGGTTCAAGCGATTCTCCTGCCTCAGCCTCCTGAGTAGCAGGGATAACAGGCATAGGCCACCACACCAGACTAATATTTGTATTTTTAGTAGGGTGGGGGGTTCACTATATTGGCCAGGCTGGTCTTGAACTCCTGACTTCAAATGATCTGCCTGCCTCAGCCTCCCAAAGTGCTGGAATTAGAGGCGTGAGCCGCCACACCTGGCTAGTCAGATGTTAAAATTATATATTTGCCTATGTAGATGTCGTTTCTAGTGTCTTTTTTTTTTTCATCCAGATTTTCAGCCGGTGTCAGTTTCCTTCTGCCTGGAGGACTCCTTTAACTTTTTTTTTTTTTTTTTTTTGAGATGGAGTCTCGCTTTTGTTGCCCAGGCTGGAGTGCAATGGCACAATCTCAGCTCACTGCAACATCTGCCACCCAGGTTCAAGAAATTCTCCTGCCTCAGCCTTCCGTATAGCTGGGATTACAGGATTGCACCACCATCCCCGGCTAATTTTTGTATTTTTACTGGAGACGGGATTTCACCATGTTGACCAGGTTGGTCTCAAACTCCTGACCTCAGGTGATCTGCCTGCCTCGGCCTCCCAAAGTGCTGGGATTACAGGCATAAACCACTGCGCCTGGCTGTCCTCTTTCTTAATTCTAACATCATGTTAGGTCTGGTTCAATTCTGATTAACTGATTATTTCCCTTCTTTATGGGTCATCGTTTCCTGGCTCTTTGCATACGTGATATTCTTTAATTGGATGCTGGACATTGTGAAGTTTACCTTCTTGCATACTAGCTATTTTTAAATTCCTTTTTTTTTTTCCTTGTCAGCTGGAGAGTTATATTTTATAATTCCTATAAATCATCTTGAATTTTTTCTGGGGTGCACTTAAGTAACCTGTAAACAGTTGGATCCTTTTGGATCTTGCTTTTATGAACTTTTACGTGGTTCAGGAGTAGTGCTCAGTCCAGGGCTGATTATATCCCGTTACGAAAGCATTATGAATTATGAATCATTCCGGTCTGACTGGTGCGAACAGATACTGTTTTCTACACTGTGTGAGTACCAGACACCATTCCATGATTTTCTTGGATGTTTCTTTCCCTGGTACTAGTCAGCTACTCTTTTCACAATCACGCACTGACTAGTGCTCTGCTGAATACTGGTGGCAGAACCTGTACATATGCCCAGATTCTCTCTCTGCTTAGTTATCTTCTCACTGGATCTTTGTCCTATGAACTCTGTCTTGCTCTCCCCAGACACTTAGCTTCACTTCCTCAATTCAGGGAGTCTGCCACCGATCCTTTCCTTTGTGCCTACCCTGGAAACAATTCTGCACCAGGCTGGCATTCCCTTCCATCCCACATGGAACTGGGGGTTCAGTGTAACTGAAAACAGTTGGGCCATTACATTCAGTTTGAACCAGTTGATTTCCATGTCTGTAAAAGAGTCTGGAATGAACCCTAGGCCTAATGTGAATGGTGAACAAAATCAGATCTAGAAGTACTGAATGTATCATAAGCTAAGGATCATTTTTTAAACTAGCAGCATTAGTGATTCAGGTGGAATGTTTTTCTCTTCCCTAGGTTCAGTTTCTGGCCAAAGTATGTAGGTTTTTTTTTTGTTTTGTTTTCTCACTGTCAACATAACCTCATTTGTTGCATCTGTTGGAGTCTTTATTACTGAGGTGAGTCTGGTCTACATAGAGATTCAGCAGCCAGGTGCAGGGCCACTGTGAGCTGAGGAAATGTGCGAAAGACAAATCCCATTGGCTCCCCCGCCTTTTTTTTTTTTAGAGAGTCTCCCTCTATTGCTCAGGCTGGAGTGCAGTGGTATGATCTCTCCTCACTGTAACCTCGGCTCACTGTGACCCCTGCCTCCCAGGTTCAAGCAATTCTCCTGCCTCAGCCTCCCCAGTAGCTGGGGTTACAGGCACCCGCCACCACGCCCAGCTATTTTTTGTACTTTTAGTAGAGACAGGGTTTCACCATGTTGGCCAGGCTGGTCTCGAACTCCTGACCTCAGACTATCCACCCACCCGTCTCCCAAAGTGCTGGGATTACAGGCGTGAGCCACCGCACCCGGCCCCATTGGCGTTTTTGGAATAAAAGATGGTAATACATTGTCTCCTCACCAACGTGTCTGCCTTGAGGGCAGGGTTGTGATACTGGAGGAATTAGTGCTTGGCCTGAAGTGCAGCAACAACCCCTCCAACCCACCCCACTCACCTTCCAGAGTGGGAGATAAGTTCTGGTGTGTATCTATGGGTTTATAACCTTTAGAACTAGTAACCTTTTCACATTCGTCTATACTGGTGGATCCACGAAGTCCTGGCAAAAAATCATAAAGTCAAGGTTGATCCATGACATTTGTGCTGGGCCTTGGGCAGAAACTGAACCTCCAGGAAGATGTGTATATCTGGAGCGGGCTGGCAGAAAGCTGTGAGGAGAGTCCTTGGATCTTTGACCTGGGTAAAGGGCAGATCCCTGAGGATTCAGACGCCTTGGCCTGCAGTTACACCAGTGCTGGCCACTCAGTGGTTCCAAGCAGCAGTCTGGCACCCAAGTGCCTAAGCGCTTCCTCCAGAGAATAGAAGGTAAAGCAAGCCCTGGGTGCAGTGACCCCAGACCTGTCAAGGAGAATAGAAGGCAAAGCAGGAGACAAGAGTGGGAAAGTGGGTGAGAGCCTTCCGGGACCTGTACACCACACATTGGGAATCACGTCTATTAAAACTGTTGGTTCCTGAAGCCTCTGGAGTTTTCTGAGAAAGATTATTTAGGGGTAGGGAAATGTATGCATTGTTAATGTAAAAATATTTGAGACAGAGTCTCGCTGTGTCGTCCAGGCTGGAGTGCATTGGCGTGATCTCGGGTCATTGCAACCTCTCCCTCCTGGATTCAAGCGATTCTCCCGCCTCACCTTCTGGAGTAGCTGGGATTACAGGCACATGCCATCATGTCTGACTAATTTTTGTATTTTTAGTAAAGACGTTGTTTCACTATGTTGTCAGGCTGGTCTCAAACTCTTGACCTCAGATGATCCGCCCACCTCCATCTCCCAAAATGTTGGGATTACAGTTGTGAACTGCAGAGCCCTAAAAATATTACTTTTGCGGGGGCACAGTGGCTCACTCT